ATGAATTTTCCAATATACTTTCTAAAAATAGTGTTCATTAACTGTTGAAAAGTGACGGGACCATTTGTAAGACCAAATGACATAACGTTAAATTTATATAGATCTTGTTTAGTGACGAATGCGGTTTTATGATGATCTTCTGACTTTATTTCGACTTGCCAAAATCTGGATGCTAAGTTAATAGTTGAAAAGTACTTTGTATTTTTGAATGAATCTAATAATTCATCGACACGTGGTAATGGATATTGATCACGCTTTGTTACACTGTTAAGCTGACGGTAATCAACACATAGTCAAAATTTTCCATTTTTTTTTTAACGATTATAACTGGAGCAGACCAAGGACTTTTGGATGGCGATATAATATCTTCTTTTAATATTTTATTGATTTCTTTCTCCAAAAAGTCATTTTCAAGTGGTGATTTATGATAGTACAGCTTCAAAGTGATGGAATATTCATTTTCCAAATGAATTTCATGTTGAGTGATGCTTGTTTGACCAGGTGAAGTTAGATCAAATAAATTGCTGTATTCATCAAGTAATTTTTGCTTTTGTTTTTGTTGTTCTGGTGTGAGATCACATTCAGTAGCATTGAAATAAGAAGAATTTTCAATTGCTTTTGATATTATTTCCAGTTGACGATGAATGTATTGTTCTTTTGAACAAATGTTGTATTAATTTTTAGTATTGTGTGAACATTTATAATAATTTTGTAGCTGTTCTTGTTGTATTCGTTGGATAGTAGTTTGATCAATAACTTCATTGTTGATTATTATATTTGTTTCATTGATCTTGATGTTGAGTTCTGATGTGGTTTTATCGATGAGAAGTAGTGATTGTTCCAATAATTCTTCTTCTTCATATTCGTCATTATGAACATCAATTTCAATTGGAATATCTTCTTTATATTCATTTTCAAGTTCTTCTTCATCTTCAATTATTGATATTGGTTGTGATCTTGGTGATGTGTCTGAGCGGTGAGTTGTATAAGAGATCAAGGCATTATGATGTTCATTGTTTATTACAAATGATAACTGCTGACCAGACCAATCTAAGATTGCTTCATGATTGAGAGCCCAAACATTTCCAAGTAGTAAGTCGTATTCTGCTTTTTCAAGTACGAGCGCATTAATAGTATGAGGTTGGTTTCCAATATTTATAGAT